CTAAAATCCAAATCCAAGGGCAAAACATGACATCCTGATCATGCATTACAAACTGATGGGCAACATTCTGCGGGAGGTAACTTTTAGCTCTTTAAAAAAAAATCAAAACAGAGAAGAAAAGACAGACATTTTAAAATTAAATCAAGTTTAGTTTCAGTTTTAAATGAAATATTTTAAAGACTGGTTGAGCTCCTCTGTTGGAGAAGTACAGTAAGAAATTGTTCCAATAGAAAAGAATATATATAGCTCAGGGTTGAATTGTGGAAACCTGGTGCTCTCTCAACTTGGCAGTTTGCTTTCAGGTGTTTCATTACCCAACTAGGTAATGATAAGGAGGGTGGGGTTTGCTCTCAGTTTATATATAGTAGCTACAGTACTACAATAACTGTTACAGCTACAGTACATAAAATATATATTGTATAAGTATCATACATATGTACTAGAGCAGGGCTTTTCAACTAATGGTACAGGTACCACCTGTGGTACATTGGCACCTGGAAGGTGGTACGCAACCATCCTAGAAAAGTGGTAGCGGGGGAGGGGACTGAGCTGAACCGGTGGCAGCACCACATAAGCCTGAGCGAGAGATGGCTGGAGCTGCAGGGTGTCAGGGCTCAGCAGAAGCACCAGGATCAGTGCCGCTTTCCAGCTGATCGGCGCTTCTTCGGGGCTGTCAGGGCTCAGTGGAAGCACCAGGATCAGCTCCAGGCTGCAGCTGGAGCTCGGCGCTGATCCTGATGCTTCTGCTGAACCCAGAAAAAGTGCCAATCAGCTGGAATGTTGCAGCATCTCCAGGGACTTGTGATTTACATTCAGATGCTTGGCAACTGATTCATATTTATGATGGTCACAGTGTCCCAGAGTCATGTGAAGTGACCAAAACCTGCTGCAACCACCCAGCAGACGAGTGGAATAAAAACTAAACAACCCCCCACCCCATCTCCGCTGCCAATCCCCAACAGAAATGCTCACAACAATGAAAACCTCAAACAGGAGGAAGAGCGCCGCTGGGTGGACAGGCAGGTGTCTTGCTCAGCTGTGGCTTGGGGGGCACTTTTTTCAGTGCCATTGTAACTTCAAACAGTCATTAAGCGAACTGTTGTAAGTCGAGGACTACCTGTACTTTATCACTTTGTTCCTTTTTTGGGGGGGGGTCATCAAGTTTTTGACACCTTGCTAGGCGACTGGTGGTACTCGGATGTTGACATATCCTAAAAGTGGTACAATTGGTGAAAAGGTTGCAAAGCCCTGTACTAGAGTACTACAGTTGCTTCTGTATATTATATAAACCCCCAACTCACTAGTTGGGTAATAAAACATCTCTAAGCAAACAGCCAAGCTCAGAGAACACCAATGACTCCAGCTCACAGAGCACCAATAACTCCACAAGAAATTGTTCATTATAATAATAATACATTTAGCTTCCAAAGATTTACAGAATAATAGAAGCATGAAGAAGGGAAATGTTTTGCCATTCGTGCAATTCATATTGCAGGCAATATTGAGCAGAGCTAAAAACAATTTCATATTCAATAATCCACCTGGCAGAGGATCACAATTTTCCAGGAAAATGCTGTAATATACCCAGCTCTAAGAAAATGAAATGTCCTTGCCACAAAGGTAAAAACTATAGTGAATGACAGATGGGAAAATCCTTTGCACCTATCTGTGGCATGGAAAATGCATTGTTTATAAAGTTTATAAAGCTATAGTCCAATGCACATTTATGGAGGATGCTTGACTGATTTTACTTCTAGCCTGATTGGACTTCATGATTAGAGCTCCTTGGTGAACAGGGCTAATTCTTAGAGTCTTTGCTTATTAAGATTCAATCTAGGCTTGACACTAGTTGCACATTTTTCTCCTTAATATATTTTTTATTTTTTTAAAAAAAGAAAAGCAGTTTGGGGAAGATGTGATCAGGAACGAGTCTGTTTAATTCTTTCTCCTCTCGCTTATGGCTTCTCCGAAAATTTTCAAGTCATTTTCTCCTGGATGAAGGAAAAAGATAAATAATCTTTTCCTGTACAGATTGGAAAGTAGCTTGGATAAAGATCTAAATGGAAAAATAAAAAGGGGGGGGGAGAGTTTTTTTTAAAAAAAACATTCCTTATGTTATTCTTCTTCTCAAGCCTACATCTAGTTGCAGATGTTTTTTATCTTAAAAAAAAACCCAGACCATGGGTGGAAATAGAATACTTCAGGTATAGTTTGGCTCTGCAATTCTAAGATCTCATGGGGATATTTCTAATTAAGCCTTTCTCATTCTAGAAAGTGCTTCCTATCATATATAGGTACTAATAAATAAATATTATGATCTTGAGCAGCATGGTGCAGGGATAAGGACATCAAACCCTGAACTCAAAGAGTTTTTTCTTGCTTTTGTTTCTAGTATATACAGAAAGATTAATATTTTTTAAATCCATGCCCCTCCCCATTTTTTTAAATAAGTTGTAAACCATTTTTTAAATATTGAGAATGAAAGCAGAATAAGTCAATAATCCCCCCCCCTTTTTTTTTTTGCAGGGAATGATAGTGACTTGGTGTGGCAAGAAAGAACACACATATTTACCTCCTCATCACCAAAAGGGGGAAAAAGCAGACAATAGCAGATGCATATATTAATCTATGCATGTAAATGCACAAATACAAATACAGCAGTGGATATGCCTGTTAATCTCCACTAATCTAACATCTGTAGACTACTGCTCTGTAGTTACAAGCTCTCCTTGCTTGTAGTATGTTTACACACACACACACACACACACAGAGAGAGAGAGAGAGAGAGAGAGAGATCTTTTCAAGTAGAGAAAGGCAGGAAACCTTTTTGTAATCAGTGATGGCACTTTTTAAAATTATTTTTGTTCTTTTAATCGCCAGGAAGCAAAGGGAGATGGGGCTGATGTGTGGATGTCAGCAGAGAAATGTTAAGCATCAGGGGAAGGTTTCTGATTTAAGCTCTTGTCTTTAAACATAAACATACTAAATTTTGGTATCATAGCCTTGAGAGGGTCCACGAAAATGAGAATGTGGATAGATAGAACCTCTGCTCATCCCTGAAAACTTGACATATGTCCATGCTATCCTTGATATAAGTTATATATATATAACTTATATATTTAGAAAAAATTATCTTCACTGATTTTTACATTAAAGATTGGTATTTTAGTGACCCTTTGTCTATTTATACATTACATTAAGAACACATCTAATACAATTCAAAAACAACAGAGGTAATAAAACAAGGACTAATATAATAAGCATGTGAGTAAAATATCCTCATGGATACATTCCCTAACCCAGCCTCTGAGAAAAGAGCAAGGTTGTCCACCATCATAGGGCTCTGTAGAAGACATAAAGAATGGCCTTGAAAGACAGTGGCAAAATCTGTTACCGAGACAACAATCAGACAAGTACTGTATACTGTAGCTTAAGTCCATGCCAAGAAACCAACCTGAGAAAATTCATCAAACTGCTCCCTGCCTATTTTACCTAAAGTTGAAAGAGGGGGAGCTCATATCTACACTTGCAAGATTCTGTTACTATAGCTGTTCTAACAAAATTAGTTTTATTAGACTTGTATAGCTTTGGATTTTTTTAGCCTGATAACTTCTTGAGGAAGTACCTCCTTCAGGGATGCATTTACCACTGTATGAACTCAACTACACATCACCTCCTGGATGGTTTTAATTAATAAGAAGGGATATATATCTAAAGGACAGATGGCTGAATCCTAAGGAACCTGTCCATTTCTTCAAGCATCTTCCAGATAATAAAGCAAGATGGTGTCTTGCTCACTCTAACTCACAAGAACTTGCCCATTCAGTCTAATTCTGAATGGTGTTTTCCTGATCAGAAAAAGCAGTGCATGCAGTAGACTACTTAGAAAGCTAGAAGAGATTCGGAGGTCTTCTTGATAGCCATGTGAATATACATTCCTTCAGACCTTGTCTTGGCAGAAAAATATGTTAACCGTGGTTTGTGCTGCCCTGATGGCTAAGATCCAATGCACCTCAGTAATGAGGATTGCAGTTTATTCTGTCCTTAGAGCTTTATGTGAAATGGTTTAAGAGTATGTTTTGCTAGGCTCTACTAGCTTATTTTCTCCTCCTTCCTAGCATCAGTAGATGACATGAAAATCACCAATTACTTCCTTCAGGTGTGATGGGATGAGTTTGTATGAGTACAGACAGTACCAGAAATGGAGATTTTAGCTCCCTTTCATGTGCCAAAAATGACAAGTTGTGAGTGTGGAGATTCTGTGCAACAATATCCTATCATTGGGGCTATTTCTGAACATGATTTGGGAATTATGTGCCCAAAATATTTAAGGTTTTGTTCATCATTAGGTCTCCTAACAAGCAGTTTTACTTTACCTGGTACTGAATAATTTGTTCTTGAAATCCAAGGTATTGTCAATCATTTTCTCCAGTATCACAATTTAAAAGCATAATTTTTCCTTCGTTCAGCCTTTCTGAGGGTTTATATATCATAGCCATATGTTACAAGTGGGCAAACCATGGCTTGGCAACATATAATTTGTTGTCATTGTGAAGTCTCTGCATTCTACTATTTGTCTTGATTTGTCATGGTCTTTCTGCCAAGTGGCAGATGATATTTTATTTCATATTTACAGTCACCAATCCTGAAAATGTTTGAGCCTGTGTTTACATACCCATCTAATTCTCTTGCCACAGTTCAGAAATGGTGTTCTACAATTTCTTTTGGGGGGATTCTTTTCTGCTTTTAATTCTTTTTCCCTCTACCTTATAGCTCTGGGATTTCCTAATGCTGCCCCATATAAAAACTAAGCAGTCGTAATCCTGATTTCTATTTTTCAAGATCAGCCAAAATCTAGTTTTGTACACAAAAGGAAATGTGACTACTATATTCTCCCTTTTTTTATTTTAATCAAAAGTCAGAGGGGGAGTTTACTCATTTTCACTTACTGCTCACTTGCTTTACAAAAACTTTGCATGATTGGTCTTTCTTCCTTTCAGGGCTCTGGCCGATATCCTCCGGCAGCAGGGACCAATCCCCATAGCACACTGTGAAAGAGAGACTATCTCGGCTATAGATACCTCCCCCAAAGACAACACACCCATCCGAACATCTTCGAAAAATCACTATACGCCAGTGCGCACCTCTAAGACCAACCCAGGTAAGACCGGCACCTCTTCAGCACGTGTATAAACATACAGTACTAAATGACTACGCATGGGATCGGAGGGAGTGGCAGAATATTATTAGTGCTATATTTATTTATTTATTTATTTATTTATTTATTTATTTATTTATTTATTTATCTATCTATCTATCAATCAAACATTGAAACTGCCCATGTCCCTCCCAGAGGAGCACTAAGTGGTGTACAAATAAAACTATATACTGGATCTGAGGACTGAGGAACTTTTTGGAGTTATATTTGAAGATGTAGTTGCATTTAAATAAATGTAGATTCTTTTGCTAAAAGAAGCTCTCATTGATGCTTATATGCCATTTCTTTTTTACGGAAACCCAACATTATTCATAAGAGTAAAATGAAAACGCAACTGCACATTTAAAATTTATTGTAATAACACCAACGCAGAGACCAATATAAAAACAATACATTTTTATAGATGGTTTTCTGATTGTACAGACTGCCACAGAGAGAAGATCATAAGTGTCTGGGGGAGCTCACAGATATATAGTGAGAACCTATGGATGATATGATGACTTACTGAGTCATGTTCAGCCCTTTCATGAGGATCGATAAAGCCAGTAGGCATTCTGTATGATCTTGCAGTAATAGATCATTATTAAGGTAGAAGAAATTAAGGCACAGCAGCAATAACAAGCAAATTGCACATGTTTAAGAGATAGAAAATATTATGAATTACAAATGAATTGTCTGTTTGAAAAACATGACCCAAAATCTTCATTCAAGCACAGCTTTCACTTGCATCCCTTGATCTCCTTTTTCTGGGAAATAAGACATACTTTATATTCTCCATTCCTTGAGCCTTTAGAATTATAATAGCATATTATATGGAATAGAATGCCCTGGTTCAGTCAGAAGTGATAGGGTATAACATATCATTGAGTGCAGTTTTCCTGCCTCTGAAGTCAGAGAAGTTGATTTCCACAAGAGGATGCTTAGATGTTTTGTAGAAGGCAGTACAAATTTCAGATACCCTCCTCTATGATATTTCAGAGATTTTTAGATTTGGAATATATATATAAGATGTAGGAGATGACCAGGCTGAGCCCAAGAGAGGAGTCAAATGTGTCATCAGTATGAGTCCCTGCACATCCATAAGAGATTTAAGTCCAGCTCACCTTAAATGCCTTTCTTATCTCCCACTCATTTCCCTTGACTGCTAAAAGTTCAGATTCTTGTAGAGAGCTTAAGCTTGCAATAAATCTTTATACTCATTTGAACTGCCTGAATCTCCTGATTTCTCTGGCACTTGACGTAAGAGTTGTTATAGGAAAGAGCTGAAATAGAATCTATTCAAATCTGAGACTTTATGATAAAATAAAGGTACAACTAAAGGATGGTGTCAACTCTGCAACGAACCTGAATGAAGCCATTTGGCTCATTTTCGGTTGTCACCAGAATGGGAGGGGGAGTGGAATTTTTCTGCTAGTTTAAACAATTCTCTGTCCCGTGGGAACCAAGGTCATTTCTGTTCGTTAGACTGGGGGGGCCAAGTCTTCTGTTAGAAAGCCCGCCAAACTATTATATTGGGAAATGTAATTGATTGCATAGTACTGGGGTGGGAAGTTTAACTTTGTATACTATAACTTTTTGGAGGGAACTTTAGTCTTGGTTTCACGTTTGACAGTGCCAATATTTGTAGCCAATAAACATATTCTTAAAGGAAACCTCAAGCCTCAGAGTTCTGTTTTAGTTGGTGTCATCTATTGGAACCATGACAGATGGCTTACATAATAGATTGAAACAAATAGATTTAAATGTTATAAGATATTGAGGTCAATGAGATAAAATGTTGGAAGTTGTAACCTCCTCTCCTAGAAGCCCTTTGGGTTTCCACATCATGTTCCCACCTTCTGCACTGAGGTAGCAGTTTATTAATTTCCTCTGCCATCCTCTATTGTACAGTGAGATCTCACTTGACATTCACCTCTTAACCCCAATGTGCACTGGGGTTGGGATTAAAATGTCAAAAGACAAAAATTGAAATCATGTCAGTGGTGCCACTTCCTGGCCCTGTAAGCATAAAGACATGGTAATAGCAATAGCACTTAGACTTCTATACTGCTTCACAGTGCTTTACAGCCCTCTCTAAGCAGTTTACAGAGTCAGCATATTGCCCCCAACAATCTGGGTCCTCATTTTACCAACCTCGGAAGGATGGAAGTTGGAGTCAACCTTGAACTGTTGAGACTCGAACTGCCAAACTGCTGGCAGTCAGCAGAAGTAGCCTGCAGTACTGTATTTTAACCACTGTGCCACCATGGCTCCATGGCTTCTCCTGTATGGTGATAGAAAATTCATCCCTTCCTCCCGCAGTTGGTATATAAATCAAACTCATAGGAAATAAACAAAATCAAGTTGTTGTTTTTTAAAAAAAAGTATGATAAAAACTTTTGTTAAACTTTTAAATGTTAAATTGCAGACATTCAAAGGAAAGCGATAATTATAGAGCTGCCTACATTATGGCACCATAGCAGTATGCAAATTAGGAAAAATTTAGAAAATAAAATAAAGAACTCCAGAGAGAATAAAAGATAGTGCAGGTGTGGAAACAAATGAAGAATCTTTTACCCAAAATATTACAGATTTCTTGAAGAACAGTGACCATAGCCTGACAGATTTAGGAAGCTGAAATCAAAGATCCAATTTTGTAATTTGTTGATTGATTGAGTGTTGCCAAGGTCAACACCTTGGTGACCACATAAATAGACTTTTCCAGAATTATGTATCCCGTATCCAGTCCTTCAGATCGACCAACAGCACACCCATTGCCAGTGTAGTTAAATCCATCCACCTTGCCGCTGGTCATCCTCTTCTCTTTCTTTCCAATTTTCCCAACATTAGGGACTTGTTCCGAGAGAGAAACAAAATGAGCACAGTTAACACAACACAAAACAGAAATTAAAAATCATAGAACCAATCCTAACTATATACTGCATATTCATCCATTTTTACAATATAGCTTTGCAATTGTTAGAGTTGTAAGGCTGTTCCTCACAAAACCTATTTCCATGAATTTTTTCCATGTTTTTATAAGGACTCTAGCAGAGGAAGTGGGGTATCTGTGTACTTCTGTAATAGCCATTGTTCATTCATGAAGATTGTGTGTCTGCTGTCTGGCATGCGGGCTATATTCACAATATATGTTTTTGAAGGAAAATACTGCAGCTGAAGGAGATTTTCAGCAGAGAAATAGGGGGAAATAGGGGAAATGTACATTGTTATATTAGCTACTGACCCATAGGAGGCACAGTACAACTGGTTTCATCCTTATATTGAGACATTCATGGAGCACAGTGGCGGCCTAGTGGTGAAGACGCTTGTCTCCTACTCGGAAGATTGAGAGTTCAATCCTAGGTAGCAGCAAATGTTTCTCTTTCAGGGCGCAAAGAGAAAATATCTGCTGTAAACAACATACAGGGGTCAGGCTAGTAAATGTTCAGCTCCATTCAGCTACCCGGACTCAACCCAAATTAAGAGATTACAGGATTGTAAAAAGAAAAAAATATTGAGACATTCATCAGGTATAGGTAGCCCCCAAGTTCCAGGTTCTTCTATATTTGCTATTTAACTGTACTGTGATTTCCCTTCTGTGGATTTCACAATATTTACTTGTGCCTGGAAATGCAAGTGTGGTACCCTTTTAAAAGATGTACACTTGTGCATGGGAGAACTTCAGTACAAAATCAGTAGATGAGAGAATTATTAAACCTTGCGCTTTTCTAGCTATCTGTGATACATCTTCTGTTCAAGCTGTTGTCTCTTAAAATGAACACTGCTGAAATTTAAATGCATGTTGTTTGTACATCATGTGCAGTCAAAGTCAAAACATCGAAAATCAGAACATTTAGGATACATTATTGCTGGATAGTCAGTTGCAGTTGCCAGGAAAGCACAGCACTAGGATGAAAATGAGGTCAGAGCTTGAAATAAGTGATTTTCATTCCTCATAAAATTATAGTTGTGAGTAGGTCAAAATAGTATCTGCATCAACACTGAATGTAGGATAGTTAAGTAGTAACTCTGTGTCTAGAATTTGGGGAGGTAAATATAAGGATGACACTGATTAGTCCATGGCACAATGTTACAAGAGTAATTGGCAATAATGTTGTTGTTGTTATAATATTCTTAAATTCTTTCAGTAATAATGGCTAACCATCCCCTTTGGAAAATAACTGAGACAATAGCCAGTACAGTAACGATGGGTACCCTTTTCTCATGCTAGTTTATCAGGCAGTTCAAGAAACATAATGAAAAACATTATTTTGATTCTGATTTTTCCCTATTCTTTCAAACTACCAAGCTCCTTTTTTTTTATTTGCAGATAGCATCCCTCATCACTGAATATATAAACTATGTCAGGAAATAAGTGATGTAGAATCCTGTGTGAATGGATAAGGCCACAAATTTCCCTAAAAAATAATGGTGAAATTGTAGAAACATTATTTAATAATTTATTGGATTTTTATCCCAGCTTTATTACTTTCTAAGTCACTCAAAACAAGAAACATTCCTAATACTCCTTCCTCCTCCTATTTTCCTCACAACAACAATGCTGTGAGGTGAGTTGGGCTGAGGGAGAACGACTCAAAGTCATCCAACTGACTTTCATATGTAAGGCAGAACTAGAACTCACAGTCTCCTAATTTCTAGTCCAGTGCCTTAACTACTGCATCAACTGGTTCTCCTGTGTCCTGTTAATAGGAAGAGATCATTGGTTCAATTTCATAAAAGACTGAGAAAATATTGCTGATTATCTGGATGATTTTAAATACCAGCAAGCTGCTTTCGTTATAGAAGGAAAGCCAAATTTTCTAGAAACCCGAGTAGTAACTATTAACTGATGAAATATCCTAGTAATTCTAACAATTGTCTTCTACTAGCAACTGAGGGTATGTTTTAAGTTAGTTTCTTCATTTGTTTCTAGAGACCATAGAATGTTAGGGAGGTGTGACTGC